AGTTTTTGTAAACATGTAAATGTGTTTGCTTGTTGGGTATGTCAATCTGTTAGATTTCAGGCATTTAAAGTTCTTAAAATGAAAACTGAATATTAAGTGTAGCTAAAAGTGGGCCAACTCTAGGCTGAATAAATCTCCTCAATAGGGCTGAGCTGACATTACCCAAAGATCACATGAAAGCAAGTGCTTTTGCTGGCCAGGCACAGGCAAAAGTGAGGCGCTTTTCTATTCGGACACATGTATGCATCTTAATCCCCAACTTTGTTAAAAGGTGTGTTTCCACCCAGCCCAATGACTGGTAAGTGGGGCCCTGCCTTACTCAGCCACAGGGTAGAGCTGCCCTCCAGGTACTTGTCATAGCGTATAATCTAAAATTCACTCTCATGCCTTGATTTATCTAAAACCTCTGAGAGAAAAATCATCTTGAAGGATTGCCTGAAGTATAATCCCTGTAGCCCACTCATTCTTCAAAGATGACAAAAGTCTTTCTTGGATGAACAAGACTGCCAGCAAAATATGGATTGAGAATACTTTTAAATCCCTCCCAGCAAACTTCCTTCAAGTATAAATGATAATGATAGCCATTTATGTTTATTAAGGACTTAAAGTGTGCTTAAATGTGATCCTTTCAATCTTCCCAACACTCAAAGAGGGCTGCATGATGTGTGTGTGTACGTGTGAGGGTTTCTTCATCTTACAAATAAGGTAGCTAGGGTACAGAGAGGTTAAATAACTTGTCTAAAGTAAACAGCACAGCCAAGATTTGAACTCAAGTTCTTGACCATTTACTATTATGCTCTTGGCTCTCACTGAAAGGCCACTACGAAACTTACTATGAAGGTATTGTTGAAGTTGATGTAGGTAAGTACCAACTTTACTTTTTACTTTATTTTTCCTATTTATTTTTTTAAAAACTATGTTCTACAGACCATGTACTTTTGTATATAAACAAATTATTTTTGGAACAAAGGAGTAGACTGTAAATAAATAAAAGAATAAACACATGAATATGTGATAATTTATAGACCAGCTATGTAATGAGTTAGAAATCAAAGGAGGATTTTTTATAGAATCACATAGATCAACACTATTCAATACAAATATGAATCTCATGTGTATTTTCTAGTAGATACATGAAAAAAGAGGTAAATTAATTTTAATACTAATACATTTTATCTAATCCCAATGCACAATGTTCTATCAACACATAATCAATATTACAAAATTAATAAGATATTTCACATTCTTTTTTTCATACTGTCTGAATACAGCATGCATTTCTTCCCATAGTACATCTCAGCACAGATAACTCAGGAGCTATATCTGACCAGAGGTGACCTTACTGGACAAAGCATATAAAGGTAGACAAGGGAGCAGGGGCCATGCACTTTTATCCCAACCCATTAATTTTTTCTTAGGAAACCAAGGTGACTTACTCTTGGAAAAGTCAGGACTACCATCTTAGATTTCAGTTCAGTGTGTTTTCCACTTTTCACACACTCAAAGTGAATGAAAATTCACTTCCACAGAGGCATGTAATCTCGCTCAGAGACACACACCTTCGCTCACAGAGCTTCTCCACGGATCTCCAAGGAGATACTTCACTGGTAACAGTGGTCACCTGTTCTGGAGTTGAGGACAGGATTTTATTTGACCCTCAGGTGTGTCCTTTAAGGGATGAATAATTCTGATGACTAAATGCTTCCTACTTTTGGTAGCTTCTATGCTTCCCGTTTAAATTGGAATATTCATGGAGCACTTATTTAAAAAGTTATAGAACCAAATCATATTTGTTTGTTGGGTTTATTTATTATGAATATTATTCTCATCTATTTTCTCAATCTGTCTCATGCTGGTCATGTATCTGAATCATTATCTTTCCACAAGGAACACAACAGTGTAAACTGTACTCTAAGGGAGGAAAAATCTAAAATCAAAACCAAATTTAGCAAATGTCTATCCTTCTTAAAAATCAAACAGCCACAGGTTATAAGTGGCTGATGACCTCAACAGATTTTAAAAACCTAGTAAGAATTGGATGAAAAGCCTAAAAGATAAGATTACTAAACCAATCTGTGAATCTCCCTCCTTTATCTGAGAAAGTGGTACAGGGTGAGGAGTCTGTTCCAGACTCTTTTCTGTAATTGCAGTGTGACCCTGTAGCTGATTATACTTATGCCCACCTACCTGCATGGGACCTGTGAAGCCAACTCACTGCATTAAGCTCCTACTGGGCAGGGATTCTGTTCTTCCTGGAATACATTTTCTTAAGTTCTGGGCCCATTATCATTCCATATTAGGAGAACAGAGGCTGTCATTAGATTTGATTAGTGTTACCCAATTACTCCCATTGTGCAAAAATAATTTTTTTTTGAAACAGAAAAAATTTTTTTCTATTCTCATCCTATTTCAATAACATGAACTCCTTTCCATACTGGCAAAATTCTAGTATAAATAATTATAAAATTATGATTCTAATTGAAAACTCTTTTGTAGCAGTGGTATGTGAGGAATTATTTGTGACTACAGAAGTAGGGAGAATCCAGAATTAATGTTTTACAAGGATACCAGTGGCCAGGCAGTAGAAGCAGCAGCCTGCTGCAGGTTCAAGAGCTGTTCTAGCTGTGGTGACCAGGGACCACCCACTCAAGATGGTGGGGATGCAAATCAAGTCAAGATGGCATCTGGCACTTTTCCAGGAGGAGTGGTTTGTGAAGCAACGCCATCGAGCCATTAAGATGATGAGGATTCCTTATTGGCTGACTGCTGTATCTAGATGATGTTAATTAGGTTAAGCTGTGTGTAATTAGTTAAGTATATGTACCTCTGCTGTCTGGCAAGAGGCAGCTCCTGCTACCTTGGGTGCCCGCTACTTTGAGTAACTGGAGGTGACAAGCAACTTGAAGGTTGAAGCGGGAACTACTTTATTGCAAGTGAACTCAGCGGGAACTGATAGAGAACTCAAAGTATCAGGCACCCAAGGTAGCAGAAGCTGCCTCTCTGTAGGACAGCAGAGGTATATATACTTAACTAATTACACACAGCTTAACTTAATTAACATCATCTAGATACAGCAGTCAGCCAATAAGGAATCCTCATCATCTTAATGGCTCCCTGGTGTTGCTTCACAAACCACTCCTCCTGGAAAAGTGCCAGGTGCCATCTTGACTTGATTTACATCCCCAATAAGACTGTCTGTGGCTTTGCTTATGGTACAGCAAGCACTCACCAACACCATCAAGATCTGCTTAATTTTCACCTGAAATCCAAACACTGCTCCCACACAGCCTGTTGGGTTCACACCTCTCTCTTGGTTGGAGTCTCAAAGGGATGAGGTAGTGACAGCCTACGATGCCCAGGGACTAATGGAAGGACAGTCATTCCAGAAGCATGGGATTTTCTCTTCCATTGGGTTTTGTGCATCTCCCTCTATCTTCTTTAAATGGCCTTGTTATTTTTCCCTGAGTATTTTGTTGTTGTTCTTAGTTTTTAAGCACAAAGTAAACTCTTTGCAATTTCTTACTCCAAAGCCTCACAAAGTTAAAAACTGCCTTTGAGTTGCACATTACCTCAGATTTACTTTATTTTTCCTGAGATTTGTTGTCCTCAATGTAATAAAGGTGTTCTACCCTTTCTCCATTGTACAGCATAAAGGAAAACCAGCCAAACAAAGTAATTAGTTTGGGAAATTTTTTCTTCACCCACCACCCATTTTGTTCTAATTCCAAGGAGTCTGAACATTCTCTTATCAAGAAAAGGTATGGTGGTGGGGAGGGTATTAGAAAAGAGAGGGAAAGAAAGAAAAGGACATAGCAGATACAAACTATGAAGTGGATAAATGATTTTGTATCTTTTACTTTGAGCATTTTGTCTGTTTCTTTCATGTCTATAACACTGAGATGATTCCCCAAATTTGCAGAGACATTTAAGCATCAATAGATGCATCACTAACTGGAAATGGCATGGTGGGTTGGAAAGACATCTAGACAGGAAGCACAGCCCCAGGTTTGCATTAAAAGCCTGCTACATAACCCTGAGCAAACCAATTTAATTTTATGAAGGTGCAGATCTTTATCAATAAATCATGGCACTATCATCTATCCTCCCAATCTCATTATAAGGATCAAATGAAATAGTAAATGTAAAACTACTTTGTAACTTGCAAATAATAATAATAGCAGCAAACTATTATCATTACAATTATTTTTGAATACCTACTGTGTGCCAAGTATCATTTTAATTGCTGTACATGAAAACTCATTTAATCCTTATACCTTATATGTAGGTACCATTACCCTCATTTTACATGAGAAAACAGAGGTAAGAAGGGCTAAGTAATTTGTTCAAGGTTTAAAAGGTTTATGAGCTTCAATTCAAACCAGGCAATTGGATTTCAGAGCTTGATGCTTTACTCTTATATAAACCTAAACTTAAAATCATGTAATCTTAGAATAAAATTGATAAAATTTGATGGCATGCTGTTCAATACTTACTTCTATAGGAAAGCTTTTATTGAAAAGTAAGGACAGTGGACAGTACCTACAAATCAATTAAATACCCAAGTCTAGAAAGAAATGGTGGCTGCTCTTACAAGCATGTTTACAGTCCTGATCCCAACAAGGTAATTAAGGGCAAAGTTACTCTTTCAGAGTTAACAAAAAGAAGGCACTAGCATTGTGGGCAGCTAGGCAAAGAATCTGAAATAGATCTACAGAATTACATAGATATATTTATACTGCATTTAGAAAAACATTTATTGAAACTCTTCATGTGAACATAATTCTTTAGTTACGGACCAATGGATATGCCCAAGGCCAAATGTAAGCTATATTTAAAGTAAGACAAATATAAACTGATTGTACAATTTTTCTTTCATCTTAACTCTAGGAATATCACTTAGGCTCAGAGATGCTGACTGTTGATTTTGGTTAGCAATTGAAGAGGGAGCCAGAAAATTCAGGTATAGAAATAAATACATGTTCTTAATCAACCACTCATACCTGCTACCTGCAGAAAACCTATTGACTTCTTTTTCTTTTTCTTTCCATTTTTTTCCTTTGTTGGAATTTCTTCGCAAAGGTGCCCTATAATGACAGCATACAGTCAGAAAGGGGGAGTGGAAATTTCCTCTTTAATACTCCTTTTACAGAGGGCTTGCTTTTTACATCATGAAGTGCTTACCCCAGATCCACAAACTTCCGCCTAATTTTTCCTCCTTGTTTCACCAATGAACTGGATGCCCTTAGTGATTTGGGACATTTGGCATCATCTAGGATATAGACATATATGAAAAGGATAAGTTATTATTTTTTAAAGCCATGGATCAAAAATCAGTGCATATCTGAATCTAAGAAATTTGCCTAAATTCCTAACTGTGGAAGAAGATAATGGATGCCCTTTACAAAAGACACTGGCATGTGCCATGTTGAAAAACAGTCACTTAAGCAGGAGAGGTCCTGTTGGACAGAGGCCCAATACTCACCACTAAAAGTATTAGTGTCAATCCCACTGGAATGAATGAGAGAAGCAAACAAACAAACAAAAACCAAAAACCACTATCACACTGTCCTCTGCTTCAAAGCAGATCTTCCTTTTGTCCTTTCTCTGGCTCCAACTCTTGGTTTGAATGCCTGGGCTCTGTTTTCCATACCTAGCCTTTGGTTTTGTAGCCTCTGAAGAAACTCAACCCACTTTCTCTGTGTCCTCAAAGCTCAGAAGAAAATATCACCTGAGAGTCTAAGAGACTTACAGTGATAGTAAAGGTAAAGTTTTCACTTGCTCACGGCCTTGGACAGGTGAGGTAGAACACAGGGAAGACTCTTAGACAGGAGCAGCTATAAAAGATATCTTTGAAAGGTCCTTCTTAATAGTTGGGTTGGAACACAACTTGGCTGGCCTCTCATGATGTGGAAGACACCCAAATTTCAGTGCTTGGAGCTGCCTGATCTTTACCTCTTTGAGTTACATGGGCACTCTAAAGGGACAGCAGCTGCTGGGGGTTGGGGACACTCCAAAGGATGCCAAAAATCAATCAGAAGAGAGGCCTGCAAATGGTGTTCCATGTCAACTGTGGCACTATTCCACCTGTTTTTGTGTGTGATACCATTCCTTTCTAATTGCCTGTTGGTTTCTGTCTCTAACTTTTAAATTCTTGAATTTTAGGAACTTTCTGGCATGAAGCATAGATAGAACAGGCCTCTTAAGATAGTGTTCAATTAACCTTGAAGGTTAATTTTGTTTACGAGTTTCGTACACTTCAGGAGAAATTTTAAATAGACAACAACATGTATCCTTAAAAAATATGAAGTGCACACACAGTTCTCATTTAGGAGTCTAGCTTCAAAGCTCTTAAGCAGCACAGGACACTGACAAATACTCCAAGGATTTTTAGCAATGAGCATTTCATATTTTTAGTTAATGGTACTCAGATTACAATAATCAATGCCTTGAAAATGTACATAATGAAATACAAGAGTTAGAAATATGTCGTGTCAAAATCCACTTCTAGCTTAAAATATTTATTATGGATATTTGCATCATTACTCTTTGAGTAACTGAATTAAATAGCCACCAATGTGACATACACACACATAAAAAAATATCCACAGACATGGCACAAATGCCTTCTAAGGTGCTTTTGCTAATGGACATTTAAAAAAGCAGGATTTCAATTTTCTTAATAGAAGCTGAAGAAAATAAAGTGATGAATTCTTCCAGATTAATCCTAAAGCAACTCTGAAAGGCTAGGACTGTGCAAAATTAAAAGAATACTGCCTAATTATTTTCTGAATTACAGGTAGCTGGGAGGTATTTTAATAAGTGAAGAGAGGGCCAGCTGAGAAAATGTACATAGAAATGCTCTTTACCTATTAGTGTTACAGTTATTTGGACATCTTAGGACTAAAAGCCTGATTCTGGCCGTCACAGAACCTACTGCTAGGCAACCAAACATCACTATCTGACACATTTGCCAAAGTGTGTTCCAAGGAACACTGAAGAGGTAGGGTTAAATTAATCAAATCCACCTTTAATGCACATGAGAACTTCTAATCCATATACAAACCAATACTGGATTGCCTAGTTTCAGGAAAAGATAAATGTAACATTTTAAAAACTTATTTATTAAGACTTCCATTAGGCTTTTAGAAATTTCTCTAATACTTCTTTAGAAGTCTGAGACCCCAAACTGAGTGGGTTGGCTTTAGGCTTTGGTTATGACAGTCTCCTGTTATAACTACTCAACTCTGCCACTGTGGCCTGCAAGTAAGCACATATAGCTTTCATTTCCAAAGGTAATAAATTATCTACGGCTAAATCCTGAGGCCTTTTCTTGATCTGCATTGTTCTCAATCTCACTGCAAAAAGATACTTGACTGCCCCTTCTTTTATGATGGGGACACCCAAATCTACCTTCCTGCCCTGGCCTATCTCCTGAGCTCATGACCTCCAATGTTTTTTTTTTGTTGTTGTTGTTTTTTTAAGAATTAACCATATTTACCCCGTGAAGTCTCTTTTCTTCTTTTCTGTTAATGACAAACCCCATGCTCTGAGGCTAGAAACCCTATGACTAGTTATAACTCACTTTCTTCCCCCTATTATCTAGTCAGCTTATGCTTCAAGGGTTCTTTCATTCTTCTGTTCTGTTATTGACAAGGGTTCTTCTTTATAGCTTATCACCTCTCAGTGTGTCTCATTTAGCCTTCTGATACCTAGTACCCTTTCCTTTTTATTTCTTTGCTCAAAACAAACTTGTGGTTTCCTAGTAATTTGAAGGTATTTCTGATTTAAATTCTAGAGCTATAGACTTAACCTACTACCTGTTCACTCTGATGCTCAACAATTCCCCTGCATAAACAAACTGCTTCAGCCAGCTGGGATAGCACCATCCTTCTCATGCAGGTTATGTCGTTGTGTCTGTCTCTGTGAATGTCCACTCTGCCTTTCATGCCTGCCTTCCTTCCTTCCTTCCTTCCTTCCTTCCTTCCTTCCTTCCTTCCTTCCTTCCT